CCCACCCCCCACCCACCCCATGTATTTAAACTTTTATTTACACCATACCTAGAACAAATCCACCACTTAATAGGGGCAACAGTACTGAAAAGCAGCCAGGGATTTTAATATTTGCATATATTACCATTCTACTTAGGATAGTCTTATTTAAATGTCCTATTTGAGATTGAGTTTCTCAGCTCCCAGTAGAGGATACAATTTGAAAACCTGCACATATAAGTTTAAGTTAAAAACCTTTAAAATGATAAGGGGAAATTACTATACCTTGAGCTTGTATATAAATGAATCTGTAAAGATGTGTTGATTTTTTTTGTATAAATTCCAATGAAAGTCATGTTAGGAAGTGCTACTGGGCAAAATCCTGGGACTTCATCTAAAGCTGATATTTTCTGATAGCCCAGAAAGATAGCTGTCCATGTGTTTCCCGTAAATCTTCAAACTGATATAATAGGGTATGTTTAAAAATGTATGTAGAATAATACCTCAGCTATGATAAACTAATATATATTTTTAAAACACTAACAAAATCATATATCAAAATATTAACCATGAGTATCTATAGGGGTTTATAGTTGATTTTTGTCAGCTTAAACAGCATGCTTTTAAAGAACAACTGGGTCAAAGAAGAAATAAGAAGAGAGATCCAAAGAAACATAGAAATAAATGAGAATGAAATACATCCTATCAAAATTGTTGGGATGCAGCAAAAGCAGTAATAAGAGAGAAATTTATATCATTACAGGCCTATATCAAGAAAGAAGAAAAATCCCAGATAAACAACCTCATGTTACACCTTAAAGAACTAGAGAAAGAAGAACAAATGAAACCCAAAGTGAGCAGAAGGTAGGAAATAATAAAAATCAGAGCAGAACTATTAATAAATGAAATAGAGAACACAAAGATAATAAAAAACTAAATGCAACAAAGAGCTGGTTCTTTGAAAAGATTAATAAAATTGACAAACCCCTGGCTAGACACACTAAGAGAAAAGACACAAATAAACAAAATCAGATATGAAAGAGAAGTTACTACGAATGCCACAGAAATACAAAGGATCATTCAAGAATACTATGACGGACTACATGCCACCAAATTCAATAACCTAGAAGAAATGGACAACTTCTTAGAAATATATAGCCTTCCTAGGCTGAATCATGAAGAACTGGAAAAATCTAAATAGACAGATCAACAGTAAGGAAATTGAATTGTCATCTGCAACCTTCCCAAAAGCAAAAGCCCAGGACCAGATGGCTTCTCTAGTGAATTCTATCAAACATTCAAAGAGGATCTAATACCTGTCCTACTCAAACTCTTCCAAAAAATTGAAGAAGAGACAATACTCGCTAACTCATTTTATGAAGCCAATATTACCCTGCTACCAAAACCTGGTAAGGATAACACACAAAAAAGAAAATTATAGACCAATATCTCTGATAAATACAGGTGCAAAATTCCTAAACAAATTTCTAGCAACTCGAATATAACAATGCATTAAAAAGATTATACATCACGACCAAGTGGGGTTCACCCCAGGGGCACAAGGGTGGTTCAACACATGCAAATCGATCAATGTGACACACCACATAAATAAAACAAAGGACAAAAATCATATGATTATAGCAATAGATGCAGAAATATCATTTGACAAGATACAACATCCCTGTATGATTAAAACACTTAATAAAATGGGTATAGAAGGAAAATACCTTAACATAATAAAGGCCATATATGACAAACCCTCAGCCAATACCATAATTAATGGTGAAAAACTGAAGCTCTTTGCTCTATATTCAGGAACAAGACAAGGCTGTCCCCTATCACCACTGCTTTTCAACGTAGAATTGGAAGTCCTAGCCAGAGTGATCAGGCAAGAGAAAGGAATAAAAGGCATCTAAATTGGGAATGAAGACACTACATTGTCACTTTTTGCAGCTGATGATGATGCCATATATAGGAAACCCTAAAGATTCCACCACAAAGCTATTAGAAACAATAAACAAACACAGTAAAGTTGCCAGATGCAAAATCAACATACAAAAGTCCACTGCATTCCTATATACTAACAATGAAACCTCAAAAAAAGAAATAAAAAAGCAATTCCTTTTGCAATTGCAACAAAAAGAATACAATACATAGGAATAAACTTAACCAAGGATGTAAAAGACCTAGACAGTGAAAATTATAAGATAGTTTTTAAAGAAATTGAAGAAGACAAAAGAAATGAAAAGACATTCCATGTTCATGGATTGGAAAAATCAACATAGTTAAAATGTCCATATTACCCAAAACAATATACAGATTTAATGCAATCCCCATCAAAATCCCAATGGCATTTTTCAAAGAAATAGAACATATGACCCAGCAATCCCTCTCCTGGGTACATACCAAAAAATATCTGAAAACATTTATCTGTAAAGATATATGTGCTCCGATGTTCATTGTAGTTTTATTTACGGTGACCAAGGCATGGAAACAACCAAAGTGTCCTTCGATAGATGATTGGATAAAGAAGATGTGGTATATATACAACTGGAATACTATTCTGCCATAAGAAAAGATGAAATAGTGCCATTTGCAACAACATGGATGGATCTTGAGATTCTTATGCTAAGCGAAATAAATCAGACAGAAAAAGTTGAGAACCTTATGATTTCACTGATATGTGGGATATAAAACTGAAAGGAACAAAGGAACAAGACAAACAAATAACAAATCAAACACTCATAGACACAGACAATAGTTTAGCGGTTACCAGAGGGTAAGGAGGGAGGGAGGATAGTACAGAAGTGTAAAAGGGATCAAATATACAGTGATGGAAGGAGAACCGACTCTGGGTAGTAAACACACAATGTGATATGTAGATGATGTATTACAGAATTGCACACTTAAACCTATGTAATTTTAGTAACCAATGTCACCCCAATAAATTTTAATTAAAAATATATTTAAAAATTATATTAGTTTAAAAAATGAATGGAAAAAAAGACTAAAAAATCATATATCAAAATGTTATCATGAGTTACCTATAGGGGTTTATAGTTGATTTTTGTGGAGTTATTTTTCCTTTTAATTTATACCTTACTCTCCACATTTTTCACACAATGTTTTATTTAAAAAGGAGATGTAATTTTTTTTTAAAGAAACTATTCAGTGCTCCTTTAATCTCTCTTTTTGAGGACAATTAAACCTTAACTATATACAGAGCCTTAAAGTGGTGTGCATCCATTATCTCATTTCAGGCACACAGTTGCCCAGGAGGAAGATATTAGAGAGAGTGGAGTCTCACTTACAGATAAGGAAAATGCAGGCCAAAGGTCAGCCAACTTTGCAGGATGGCAGAGGACACTGAGGTCAGAGCTGGGAGAACATATCCGGTGTCCTGGGGCCCCCTGTCTCACAACACTTAGATTATATATGAGATATATTACCCTGATGGTATTCACATCTTTTTAAACTAAGCAATAAGTCCATTTTCATGTCTAATATGTTATAGTCTGTTCCTGCATGTAATACACTGCTAAGAATCAAGATGCTTAACAAATATTTTTAAATTAATTTACAACAATCTTGTCTTCTTTGTATTTTTTAAAACTCATTTATCTAAGCAGCTAAACATATTTGCTAAAGAACTGACAGATAGCACTGTAATCTTTCCTTTAAACTATTGCCCAAAGTTTGAAACTCTGGGGTTTTAAATATATATATATATATACTTTCCTAGCCATCCAAGCAGTTTTAGGGGAAAGGATATAAGAAAAGAATAACATGAATATTCATCTAAGCAGTTTTTAAAAAGCAAGATATAGAAAAGGGCAAGGGCATCTCATCAGGCCCAGTAGGAAGTAGAGAGAGGGAGCAAGGAAGGCAGGTACTTCCCAACCCCACCACCTTCCCAGTCTAGGCCCAGAGGGAGATCCACAGTTAGGACAAATGGAGCTCTAAGGGACCATCCCAAGATGCATGATAGAGAAGGGGGGAAGTGAAGAAATGAACATCCCAAGATGCCAGGATGGAAGGGAAATGACCTAGAGTTTCCAAGTTCCTTTCCTGGGTTGCTCTTTTGTTGTAAGGGGTCTGCAGCAGCAGTGTCCCTGCAAACATACATGAGTAAATTAGAAAAAGGTGTCCCTTCCTCCCAGCAGACATGCTCTTGACCAATGCATACAACTTGGTGAGTGGATTGGGGGCTGGATCACATCCCCATTCATTCATGCAGTAAGCAGCCTGCATGACTGTATGCTGCAGCCCTGTTCATGAGTTGGAAACATAATCAAGTTGGGCCTGCCTCTAACTGGAAGGTGTTTTTGACTCCTTGTCAACAAAGTATCCTTCAGTTATTAGATTCACATACACACACATCTGCTATAGCAGAGACAAAGAGACGATTTCTAGAATCCAGAGGTAAGTGTATTATTTCCCTGGTTAAAAAAAAAAAGTAGATATACACCTCATATAGAGTATTATAATGACTGAATGAGATCATGTATGCCAAGCACAGGGCACAAGGCTTAGCATGAATCATTCAGTAAAACGCTGGTTAAATGTTGGTTCTCTGCCATTTTCCCCTACTAATCCTAAAACTATTTAGACTATTTAGACAAAGCTGCAGCTACAGTGGTAATTTTTTTTTAATCCAACTATTTTCTTGCCATAAAATCCCTACATATTTCCCTACATAGGAACCAACTGTATTCCCTGCCCGCCACCATCCTATACACCAAATACATTTTCAAGTAGCAGGCAGCATGCCATCGACACTGAACCCATCTAAAAGAACTGCAAATTAGTCTTGTATGAAATGTTGGCATAAAACTCAAAGCCAGCTCTGACTTTACATTTTATAATGAAACCAAAATTTGACCCACACTTGCAAAAATTTTGCCAGCATTTGCTATGGGCCTGTGATTGTCATTAACCCATGGATTTGAACCCATCTCAAAGATAAAAGAGTCCAGATCTGTGGAGAGCCAAACAGAAGTCAGGCATAACTCCCAAATGTCGCTTTGAACACTGACCCTGAAAAAAAATGAGCCGAAGTTGATGCACAAAACTATGCAGGAAAAATGTGCAGAGTCATATCTTTTGATGAACTTGGGTCACAGTCCTTCCTGCAGTTCTTCCATCCCTTCCAAATGAACTCCAGAGGCAGATCAGCCATTTCTGAATGTTTACCATGGCTTCGGAGGAAGCTATGAGTTCTCTCCTTCCCTATGGCTTTTTTAGTTAAAAAAAACCAAAAAAACAAAAACCTGTAAATGTGTAGAGGATCCACCTGCCATAACTTGGCCCAATTCAGTGGTAAAACGACGGTCATACTCCACCAGTATTCCCAATCTTGGCATCGATGCCATGCTGGCACAGAGTGATGCTGTTTTCAAAATACCCTTTCTCCCCTCTCTAAGGCAGCCACAGCCCTCTCAGAACTACTGAACCTGGGATCACACAAGTAGATTATACCCCCCAAGGTGTTTATATTTTAATAAAATGTCAGGTAGCCAGATTTTTCTGACCTGGTATAGGTTTATCCAGGGACAATTTTTAGAGGTTGAAACTCAAGGCAATGCTCTAACATGTGGTATCTTAATAAATGGGAAATTGTACAAATCAGAGAATTTTTATCATCAAGGCAAGTTTGAAAATAATGAAGGACATTATACAGAACACAGGTCAAAAACCAGAACTAGGCAACCCAAATCGATGAAAGCATATATAAAACAACAGACAGTACAAGTATTTTGAAGCTAGGGAAATAAAAATACTGCATTTTAACGTGTATAATATGTGCCCGTGTATAATGTGCACCCACGTTTTTGGCCCAAACTTTCAGGGTAAAAAAATCTTTCATTTTAATTTTTTAATTCAAAATGTTATTTGTTTACATTTAGGTACTTGTTTTTTGTATTATAAAGGAATTTTAACATTTATTTTTTAACATATTATGGTACAAGAAATTTTATGTAACAAATAATTACAAAACCCAAGAACAGATACATGGTACAAGAAATTTTATGTACCTGTAACAAATTTATGATGTTTACACATCATAGAAGGCCAAGAACTCTATGTTATTGCAAGTGCATTGTAAGTTCAAAACCTATTATCATATTTCATGGTATTATTTTGCATATGGATATTGTTATTGATTTCTAGAGTTACACTTTTAACACATAAACATTAATAAAATAATTAAAAACATTTATATAGATATGGAATTAGTGCTACCCATGTATCATGCACATCCTTATTTTTTCCTCACAAATTTTTGGGGAAAAAGTGCGTGTTATACATGGCAAAATACGGTATATTCTTTTAAGGTTAAGAACCAGGTGGAGGAGGGAAAAGGTAACAAGTTAAGAGCTTCTGTTCCCTTTGGATTTTTCTGAGTTATAATAACTCCCCTGCTGAGTGTTCCAGGTGAGACCCAAACCATCCTCCAGGGGGCCCTGCAGAGAGTAAAACAGGGCCCTAGCTTGGCCTCCACCCTTTGACTCTCACCCAACATTGTAGGCTCCCTGCATCTGATTGGCTGTTTAGAACTCATGAAGGACACAAGTACCTCTTTGCAAAACACTCCAAATACATGAATCTCATCTTCACTCATGCCCATAAGTAAGTTAGTAGCCACTATTATGATGCTGTTTAAAAAATAAACTCAAAGGTAAATATATTTATAACCCTAACAAAATTTGTTTGTATGTGACTAACTGCTCTGCCATATACATTAAGCACCAAGTCCAGGTCAAATCACTGCTTTGTAATCCACAGATCCTACTTTAGCACCTTGAATAAAGGAGATGTTTTAACATCTATTCTCATACTATGTCCGTATATTTTCCTAAGTTTAAAATTGTTATTTAGTTAAGAATAAAATGATAGCCATTTGAAATACAAGAGAGAATAGTTTCTGCACCCTTCTGTTTTTCCCTGAATGTACACCTGCATTCATTCATTCCACAAAGATGGACATGAGGATCTTTGCTGGGTTCCCCCAGGATACCAGAGTGCAGACAGCATAATCTCTGCTTACCACAGTCTAATTAGTGAGACAGCAAGGAGAGCAGATTATTGAAACAACATGATGATGGACAGTGTTGCTGCTAAAACGGTACAGAAAGAGGGAGAGGGTGGGATTCCAGATCAGACATTATCAATCACCCTCCTTATGCAGATCCAGGGACCTTTGGGTTCCCAGAGAGACACAATCACAGAGATGTGGCTAGACATACACATAGTTTTCATGACTCAGGGATTCTATTGCATTCAATACCGATTCCCATGTTCATGGCAGGTGCTCTATACTTGTTGCACAAGGGAAAGGTGAGGGCAGAAGGGTGGAATATTGTCTGAATTATCTCTGTGCAGTTTCCATGGCCTAGACAATGTCTGATTCATAGTAAGCCCTCAAGGAAAGTTTGTTGAATGAATAAATAAATGAATGCATCAGCAAGGGACCTAAAGCAATGACTCTAAAGAGGAGACGACAAAAAAAGACCAGAAGCCACACAAAGTGAAGAGTCTTCTATCTTCTTTTATCATATTAAAATTTATACCACCACCCCCCTAGAAAAGGACCGTGGCCTTGACCTTGACCCTTGGAGTGAGAGGAGAAATCAGAGCTCTCCCTGGAGATGGGAGTATGTGCAGTGTTTATTTTAAATGTATGTTTAAAGCATTGCTGGGAATGCAATAGAGAACAGGAGAATGCATTTAGTTCATTCAGCCTTAAGGTTAAAAGAAGACTTCTTGGAAGTGGGGCCATTTGAGCTATTTATAATCCACGTGAACCACAAAGCCTGCCCTTGAAAGAACTTTGCACTTGAACTTAAACATGATGACAATGAGAAAGATAACTTTGTACTTCTCCCTACAAAAAGAGAGAAAAAAAAAGAAAAAACAAACAACATCAACAAAATTAGCACAGACATCAAAGACTATTCCCTAGTGACATAACCCTTAACTTACTTATGTCAGTAGCTTACTCAACAGTTCCAGAAGAAGAAGAAAAAAAACAAAAAACAATTAGGAAGAAATAAAAATGACAGGGAACACATACTGAATATTTAAACTATATTTGTAGGTTTATTGTGAAAGAATGAGAGCTCCTTCTCAAGGGGAGAACAAGGATCTATGACCTGGATATCAGCCCAAGGAAGAGAATTTCCAGAAGTTTAGGCTCCCAAAGTAAACAGCTGAATTATTCAAGATGGGAAAAGCTCTGAAGTTTCTAGAAGACATGACTCTATTCCAGTGGGCCTTGATGCCCCATGTCACGTGGGTGATACGAAGCCTAGGTAAACCCTGTGCCCTGTGGAATGCCCCCAGGGGGATCAAAGATCCTGTAGACTGTGGCATTGAGTCCACATGCTTTTCAGGGAGCCATTTCAGCATCAAGGCCAGAGGCCCTTCCTCAGATTTTCTGGAAGGTATAAGACCCTTATTTTCCTTGAATGACCAAAGGAAGTTGCAGGGCAAAACTGGATGAGATTAAATTCCCAACAACCTTACCGGGGAGAGATGGGAACAGAGCCAGATTTATTTGAGTATAAAGAAATATAACACTTACTGCTCTCGGAGTTGAGGAACAAATTCATACCCATTATATAAGTTTGACCAAAGTTCAAGAACACAATCAGCATTTTAAAAAACAAAACCAAGCCACTAGATCTTTGTAAATGAACAGCAGAGCTCCACATGCTCCAGGTACCCATATTTACCTCAGGCACAGCAAGTCAACTGGAAAACCAGCCAAGCTTGTTAAGTTCACCCAATTTCTAACCTTCCCAGAGCTAGAAGAATGTCTGCCTCAAGCAGTTTCATTTACTGGCCTGAGATGACCCAAGGACTTCCTCCCTTTAATATCCATTTGAAAAGTGGAGGTAAAAAATCCACACACCAAAATTCCCTCTTTGGCCATTTACCCAGTTCACTAAATAACTAGAAACAGAGCAGCTAATGCTTAAAATAGAATTAATGTTACATGTTGATGTTAAAACTCATGTTTTCTTTTGCATGTTTTTCTCAGTATGTATTAACAATGTCTAAGGGCAGCAAAAAGTCCATAGGGCCATTTCACTTTTCTAGATGGCAGGCATTCATTGGTTCTTGAATGTTTCATGCAAAACAGTATTTCTGGCTTACTGTGTTGGAGAGAAAGAAACACATTTTTGAATCAAAACAGAGAGGAAGCTACAAAATGAATTCCAATGAAACATGAGCAAGCAAGCACATCTAAGTGGGTTTTGTTATGACTTAGCATTCACGGGATGGGGAAAAAAATAAAAAGCAAATTTCTGATTGTTAAACCTAGACTTCTCAGCTCCCCTGTCCTGTAGTCAATTTGCCAAATGCCTTTTTCCTTCTCTAATCCCATTTTTCAATATCTCATAACTCAAACCTGATTGATCACTTGGTCATATCAGCCTGAACTCATTAGGCCAATTAAATTAGAATTAGGTGCTGAAAGATCAGACTCACTTAACTCTGACAGTGCCATCCTAAACTGGGCTTCTATACATTCTACCGCATAGTCTCATTTCAAGTGCTGTGATCTTACATGGGTGGTTTGATTTTTTTGAAGGGGACACATTGCTCGGAAAGACTTCTCATGACACTGGGGCGGGG